AGACATGCCACTAAGTGGCTCCCAGAACTGAAGGGCAAGAGCTACGAGGAGAGGTTAGAGGCATTAATATGCAAAAACTAGAAGATAAAAGAAAAAAAAGAGGCGATATGATCACTACGTACAAAATAGTAACAGTAATTGATAAAATTGATTGGGAAGAATTCCTGAGACCCAGAACTTCAAGAACAAGAGGTCATAGATTTATACTAACGAAATAAAGCTGCTAGAGAAATATAAGAAAATTCACTTTTGTAAACAGAGTGGTAGACGGATGGAACAAGTTAGGTGAGAAGGTGGTGGAGACCAAAACTGTCAGTAATTTCAAAGCGTTATATGACGAAGGGTGCTGGGAAGACTGGACACCAGGGGTGTAGCTCTAATCCTGTAACTATACTTAGGTAATTACTTAGGTAATAACCTTCAGATAAATTACAGATAAAGCTGTAATTACATTGGTTCCCTGAAAGTAATTACCTGACACAATAAGAATTTTAGAGAATAACATAGAGCACATAGAGGTGTCTAGAGACGAAGTGAAAAAATGCTCAAGGAACTAAGAAAGAACAAAGCAGTTGGCCCAGATGGAGTTTCACCACGGGTCCTAAGAGAATGTGTACCTGAGCTCAGCATACCACTTCAGCTGATTTTTCAGACATCTCTGTGTACAGGAGTCGTATCAGATGTGTGGAAAAAGGCCAACATAGTTCCAATCTACAAAAGTGGCAGCAGGGAAGAACCCCCTCAATTATAGACCTGTATCATTGACAAGTGTAATAGTGAAAGTATTGGAAAAACTAATAAAAACTAAATGGTAGAACACCTGGAGAGAAATGATATAATATCAGACACAGTATGGTTTTCGATCTGGAAGATCCTGTGTATCGAATTTACTCAGTTTCTACAATCGAGCCACAGAGATTTTACAGTAAAGAGATGGTTGGGTTGACTGCATCTGTCTGGACCTAAAAAAGTCTTTTGACAGAGTTCCACATAAGAGGTTATTCTGGAAACTGAAACATATTGGAGGGGTGACAGATAAGCTTCTAACATGGATGAAAAATTTTCTGATAAAAAAATGAGGGCAGTGGGCAGTAATCAGAGGCAATGTATCGGACTGGAGAAATATCAAGTGGAGTACCACAGGGTTCAGTTCTTGCACCAGTGATGTTTATTTTCTACATAAATGATCTACGAGTTGGTATACAGAATTATATGAACATGTTTGCTGATGATGCTAAGATAATAGGAAGGATAAGAAACTTAGATGATTGCAATGCTCTTTAAGAAGACCTGGACGAAATAAGAATATGGAGCACCACCTGGCAAATTAAATTTTATGTGCATAAATGCCAAGTTGTGGAATGTGGAATAGGAGAACATAGACCCCACACAACCAATAAATTATATGGAAAATCTGAAAAAAAAAAAAAAAAAGACTTCTGATAACGAAAGGGATCTAGGGGTGGTTCTAGATAGAAAACTATCACCTAAGGACCGCATAAAGAACGTTGTGCGAGGAGCCTATGCTAAACTTTCGAACTTCAGAATTGCTTTTAAATTCATGGATGGTGAAATACAGCAGTGGAACCTCGGGTTACAAGCGTCCCTATTTACAAGTTTTTTGGGTTACGAGCCCGATTTGTTCGGAAAATTTGCATCGGGATACGAGCATTGCATCGGGTTACGAGTTTGTTGATACGCGTATGGGCCGACATAGCACAAGGTGGCACAGCGACCACGCCTCAGTTCACCAGTGCCTTGCGCCCAGTGACTATCCCGCCTGAATTTTTCACAAGGATTTAGTTTTTTGTCAGATTTTTGGCCATTTGAGCATAAAAGTAGTTGTTATATATATCGCCATTTGTCCCAAGAAAGCTAGTGGTAAAATTCAAGGCAAGAAATCGCATGTGAGGATGACATGTGATAGAGGAAAAACAAGAGATCATTCGGAAGCATGAAAATGGTACTCGTGTTGTTGAACTAGCTAGGCAGTACAACAAATCTTCAGGGAAGGAAGAGGAGGCAGTAGAGAATGTCCCTTCCTCATTAATTAAGAAAATGTGTGCAGTATGGGAAGGATTGCAAAATTTAGCTGAAAAGAATTGCCCAGATAAAGCTGTAGTAGGCCGTTGCATTGATTTTTTTTAATGACAATGTGATGCCTCACTACAGATAAGTGTTGCAAAGAAGGGAAAAACAATCTTCAATGGAATGTTTTCTTGTGAGAATAGTGAGAAAATCAAGCAGTGAGCCACAACCAGGACCTAGTGATATGCAGGCAAAACGTACCAGAGTGTGCACTCCAGAGAAATCTTCACTGCCTGATGCTATAATGGAAGGGGACTTCCCTTCCAAACAGTAACACCTCTCCCCCTCCTCACCATCTTCCATATGCCAACAGGAGTCATCAGCAAGAGTAAGTAATAACTTGAACATACTTTTGTAGTGTAGATTTGGATGAATTGGGTATAAATTTTAGTTTGAAGTTTTTGGGTAGTCAGGAACGGATTAATTAATTTCCAATAACAGTATTTCTTATGGGGATATTAGCTTCGGTTTACGAATTTCCAGGTCACGAGCTGTCTCCAGGAACGGATTAAATTCTTAAACCAAGGTACCCCTATACTAAAGAAATTTTTCACTACTTTTGTTAGGCCAAAGCTAGAATATGCAGCTGTTGTATGGTGCCCATATCTTAAGAAGCACATCAACAAACGAAAAGGTGCAAGACATGCCTCAAAGTGGCTCCCAGAACTGAAGGGCAAGATCTACGAGGAGAGGTTAGAGGCATTCAATATGCCAAAACTAGAAGATAAAAGAAAAAGAGGCGATATAATCACTATGTACAAGATAGTAACAGGATTCTATAAAATTGATAGGGAAGACTTCCTGAGACCTGGAACTTTGAGAACAAAAGGTCTTAGATTTAAACTAACTAAACAAAGCTGCCGAAGAAATATAAGAAAATTCACCTTCGCAAACAGAGTAGTAAGACAGTTGGAACAACTTAGGTGAGAAGGTTGAAGAGGCTAAAACTGTCAGTACTTTCAAAGCATTATACGACAAAGAGTGCTGAGAAAACAGGACACCACGAGCGTAGCTCTTATCCTGTAACTACACTTAGGTAATTACACTTAGGTAATGACCAGTTTAAAGGTACCAGCAGTCAGAGTAACAGTCAATCAAATAAAATCGAGTCGAAACGCAGTTAAAAGCTCTGTACCTCAAGGTACAGTCCTTGCACCGCTACTGTTCATTATTCTCATATCAGATATAGATAAAAATAGAAGTCACAGCTTTGTGTCATCCTTTGCAGATGACACAAAAATCATCATGAAAATTACCTCTGCTGAAGACATTGAAAAATTACAAGCAGATATCAACAAAGTTTTCGATTGGGCAGCAGAAAATATCATGATGTTTAACAGTGATAAATTTCAGGTACTCGGGTACAGCAAAAATCAGGATCTGAAACATAATACTGGGTACAAAACAATCGAATCTGCCCATAGTAGGAAAACAGCATGTCGAGGATTTGGGAATAATGATGTCCGACGATCTAACGTTAAGGGAGCATAACCAAGCAAATATTACGTCAGCCAGAAAAATGATAGGATGGATTACGAGAACTTGCAAATCCAGGGATGTTATCACAATGGTTGTACTCTTCAAGTCACTTGTGTTGTCCCGTCTTGAGTACTGCTCAGTACTCGCTTCCCCCTTCAGAGCAGGAGAGATTGCTGAAATAGAGGGAATACAGAGAACATATACAGCACAGACATAATAAAGCACCTAAACTATTGGGATCATCTCAAAGCTCTCCAATTGTGTTCCCTAGAAAGGAGATGGGAGCGGTATCAAATAATATACACCTGGAAAATACTGGAGGGCCAGGTCGTAAATTTGCAGATTAAAATAACATACTAGAGTTAACGATACGGAAGGAAATGCAGAATGGAGCCAGTTAAAAATATCCTCCCAACAAGTATAAGAAATATTGCTAGAATAAAAGTGGAAGTTTTCAAGAAAAAACGGGACAGTTTTCTACAAGAAGTAGCAAACCAGCCGAGCTGTAGTGGATATGTGGGCCTACAAGCCACTCCAAGCAACAGCCTGTTGAACCAAACTTTTACAAGTCAAACTTGGCCTCGGGCCGAGCTTTGGGAGTAGAAGTATTCCCAGAACCCCATCCATATACAATCCAAGTACAGTACAACACATCCTTAGCTGATATACGTGTCCGGGGTTTTGGTGGTGTAACAGGATTCTGGTGGCCTATTATATAGTCAAATGTTCCTGATCCCATTCAGTCATGTGTTGCTGAGGGGGCTCTCTCTCATGGTCTGGGTTCTCTTCATGGTCCTGTTGTTTCTCTTCTGCCGGGCAATTTTTTTTCCTCCCCAGTGGATAGTTTCAGAGCTACTGGGGAACATTACTGGAGATACCCAGTGTTGAATGTAATGATACTTCTCTTTCGTAGAGCCTGGTGCTCCTGGAATCCCTCCCTTCCCTTCAGGTTTGTTAGTTTGTTGGTGGGTTGTTCACCAGCCCCAGAACTCACTTCAGGAGCCAATTGCAAGCAATAGTTGGGCCTCCTGGTGTTAGTAATGAGTACTAATGAATTTGTAAAGCATAGCATTTGTAAAGTTTTTCTGTTTTTCTGTTGCTTTCCTGGTGGGGTGGTGAATTGTTACTTGCTGCACCTCTGTGAGGGGAGGGGGGGGGGAGGTTCTGGCTCTGGTCCCTGGACTGTGATTGATGTGACCTTTTACTATGGAATAATCTTGGCAAGATCTTTTCCAAAATGAGGTGTTTCATTACATTCAATGCTGTGTTTTGACAGTCAAAATGTTAGCTTTATATGCCTCATGCCATATTAATGTATACTGTAAAGCAGTTCTTAGTTTTCTGTAAAGAGGCTATTATAAAGACAAGTAAAGAATAAAATATGAAAAATAATTGTATACATTGTTACTTAATAATTTCCAATATTTCCACAGAAAAGATAAAATTGAAGTTCAGCAAGACGATGCCATTTCAGGAAGAGAAGGAAAAACTGGTTCAAGACCTGTTACAGTTGCAACTCTTCCACAGCCAGAACCGGTTGTATCCTATGAAAAAGCACAGTTAAAGGAAAGAAACCAAGATCAAAATGTAGAACAAATATCTCAGCCAAATACTATGCTTTTCCCAAGTGGAAAGTCAATGTCTGTTGGTGCATCTTCAGCAGTACCACAGACAAGGAGTCATGTCATTATGCCAGCAATTTCCTCTTCATCAGCTTCTGTCAATGCTTTTGAAGCAGCCACATTCAGCACCCCTTTGACTCAACCTGTTGACCATAAGGAGGAATTCACAAAGGCTGTTCCACCTGAAGGAGGTGGAACATCCTCTAAAAGAGCCTCGGTAGAACATAAATCTAGAAAGCCGTCTGAAAGTCCAAAAAGACCAAAGCATAGACGGCATAAAGAAAGGAAGAGCAAACGCAAGAGAAGTTCTGATTCAGAGTCTCACTCAGATAAAAGTGATCATGAAAAAAGAAAAGCTGAAAAAAATGCACCACAAATCATGAAAGTAAAGAATGATGTGGAGATGCTCTTTTCGAAAAAGGATTCTCTCGTCAAACGAGTGAAAATGCTAGTGGAACAGAAGAACATGATGAATGAAAAACGTGATGACATAATAAAAAATCATAAAGGGAGCAGAGAAGGTCTCGCAAGTCTTTTAGAAGAGAACTCATTTCTTATGAATGAAATTGGAAAGCAAATTAATAAAATAAATAGTATGGTTCATACAGTCAACCAGGAGATTGAAGCTGAAAAAGGTATTAAGCAAAAGCATAAATCCACATCAAAAGAGAGATCTGAAAGCCCTTGCCATTCACAGGACCGAAAAAGGAAGCTAGGGCATTCACCTGAAAGGGAAAAGCATAATAGTACGTATCATTCTCCTGAGAGATCAGAATTTAGTACGTCTTCATTCCTGAAAGACAAGAAAACAAGGACTCCTCAGAGGAAGGAGAATTGGTCTCCAGTTCCTGTGAAGCAAATTGCACAAAACAAATCTGACGAACCTTCAAAAACAATTGAACAAGGTCATAAATATTCAAAGTCACCACAGTGGGCCGAGCAGAAGCGATCCAGGTCCCCACAGTGGGCCGAGCAGAAGCGATCCAGTTCTCCACAGTGGGCCGAGCAGAAGCAATCCAGGTCCCCACAGTGGGCCCAGCAGAACCGATCCAGGTCCCCACAGTGGGCTGAGCAGAAGCGATCCAGGTCCCCACAGTGGGCCGAGCAGAAGCGATCCAATTCACCACGATGGAATGAACAGACCCAATCTAGGTCACCAGCACCAAAATTATTGAAGCGTTACAAATCAAGGTCACCAAATCCAACTTTATCAAGGGAAAATAAAAGACATTTAACACCACCTGAACTGGAGAGAGTTCAATCTCAAACAAAAAAATATCAAGTAAATACTGAGACAGGCCAAAAAATGGCAAGTTATAAAGGAAAAGATCGACATGAGTCTGCTAAAGAAGAGTTTGTTGAAGCAATGCAGTATGCCCCACTTGGTTCCCAGAGATCTTACATTCGCTATATGGACCAAGGCATGCACTGGTGTAAACTGTGCAGCCTATTTTGTGAAACGGTTCCAGAGTTTGTCAGCCATCTCATGACACCATCTCACTTGGCAAGAGTTAAGGTCAGTTTTACCTCTGCATACTATTTCATGTATAAGTATTTTATTCTGTACCAGTTGCACTGCTAATTATTACTGTATTAATGTTGGGAGAGTAAAAAAAGCTATAATCTGGTTGTAAGTATATAAAAACTTCCAGCTATGTAATATTGCATTTGAAAATAAGTGTTGGAGGTAGAACTCCTGTACCACAGCCGGAGTGCATGTGAGCAATGTGTGAAACCTTGATTAGGGTTCAGTAGAAGCCTCAAGACTCCCTAAAGGATTCAACATGTTGTGGCTGAGTTGTTTACGGCGTATGCTTTGGAGTAACCAGTGTGCAGGTTCAGTTCCTTATCATAGCAACTACTGATTTTGTCATTGATAAATCACATTAACCCTTAAGTTGCGCAACACATCATATGATGAGTTGAGTGACTTGCTATAAAATGCGCATCCCATCATATGATGTATTGGAGTACTATGCAAGATTTAAATTGCCCACGGATACATGGGGTTCACCTCACCTTCATCAGGGCTCTTGTAAACAGACGCTATTTAAAAAAAAAATCGTGGGCTGGGTGTGAGGGGCCTCAGTATTGAGTGAGCCACCAAGCCTGATGCACGCAGCATGAGCTCACAGCACTGCTGTTCAGCTTGTGACCACAGCATCGCCTAAAAATGCTATAATATATATGTTCGTGCTATTATTTAGCGATGATGATATTACAGAAGACCCCTGACCGTGATAAAAATGACCAGGATTCTGATAATAGCAGGATTGTTGTGATAATTAGCACTGTAGTGGGAGGAGTAATCTTGGTGGGGAGGCAGGTAGTATTGTCAGCTGACTGTGTGTGACCACCTTTAACTGTCTGGACTCACTATACCAGCTTAGTTGTTCGCTATGGTGAACAAAACATGCAGATACTTATATATAACATCTGTATATAGGGTAATAACACCACAAACAGTATTGTTGGGGGTGAAATCTTAGTGCATCTGACCTTGAATGTGTGAGGGAAGCAGCCCCAGCTGATTGTGTAGCGACGTCTCTTAGTGCCTGAACTAACTATATCAACTTAGTTGTACAGTTGTGGTGAACAAAACATGTAGATACTTATATATAATGTCTGTATATAGTGGATAAAAGCAAAAACAGTATTGTGGTAGGAAAAATGTGGGTGAGTCAGGTGAATTCAGGCAGGGAGGAAGTAGCAGCCAGTGGCGGGCTGCCACTGGCTGCTACTGCCACTGCCACTCAGCATACCAACTTAGTGGTTCGTTATGGTGAACACGAATGTAGATACTTATATATAACGTCTGTATATAGTGAATAAAAGCAAAAACAGTATTGTGGGAGGAGAATGTAGGCGAGTGAGGTGTTGAGGGAGTGAGTGGCAGCAAGTGGCTGGCTGGTGTGTGGCGGTCACTCCTCGTTGCTTTTTGACTCATAATACCAACTTAGTGGTTCGTTATGGTGAACAAAACATGCAGATACTTATATATAATCTGTGTATATAATGTAATAACCGACAAAGTATTTGTTCACTGCTTGATGAACATAATAATTGAATCAACAATATGCACACCATATTTTTGAGTACAGCAATGATTCACTCATTTTATTATATAAATATATCACACCACTCACTATTGAATAATATTACAGCAAAAAAACTACAAAAAATCAGAGACATTGAAATAATTAGGTAATTATCTCTCTGTGGCAACTCCTGCCTGACAGCTGGCGAGCAACAGACCGTCTGGGACGCACGATGAGTCAGTGCCTGTTTTCTGTGGGGAGCCCCTACAGCTCCCTGGAGCTTTTCTGGCTAATGTGTGTTATATTAAACCGAGACATTAGCTAAGGAGTTCAGATCTACCAGGGACCAGTGCCAGAATCTGGCCCCTTCAGAGAGGTTTCAGGGAGCAATGCGCCTGGAAAACCCCCGTGTGGTTGGGGTTTTCCTTATCTGCCATCGACCAGGGTTAGGCACCCAGAAAGGTAGGCATAACAAAACAAACCCCACATGGTAAAAAACTTAAAAAAAAAAAACGAACAGAGAGGTAGGAACTCCCTACAATCCCAAGTAAACGAGCAAACATAACACTTTACTGCCGTGCCGATTGTCCGCGCAGCCCTCCCTGCCCCGAGAGGGGGAGGGGGAGCCCCGGACCTACTGCGCCGGCTGCCTAGCATCAGTTCGTAAGCTAATGCCAACCGGGATAGACACTTCTCTGGCCTCAGTTTCCTAGGCGGTGTTTGCCTTGTGTGGCGTTCACTGCCGTGTGTTGTGTTGTGCGGTGGCCAGGAGTACCTCATCAGCGCCAGGGCTGCATGCGCTTAGTGGCTGACTTCCCTAAGCGCCCTGTGAGTACTGCCCTTGCGTAACAGGGTTATCTTCCCTGGGGCGTTCGGGAACCATTCCCATAGAGGTTCTTGCTGCTCGGCATTTGCCTCGCCCTTGGGGCCAGCTGGGGCTTGGGGCCCTTGTTTGGCCCTGGGTAGGGATTGGTATTGTGCTGGTTAGGGCGTCAAGGTGTTGCGCGGCCTGCCACCTAAACGCCGACTGGTTCCTGTTGCCTCTGGAGACGGTGTACTTTTGCAGGGTTTTTCTTTTTTTATTTTCAATTGCCTTGTGGGGGTCTGCCCAGTGTGGCTATAGTTCCACTGGTAGTGTTTGGCGGCCCTCTGTTAGGCCCCCGTGATTGTACACGTCGCAGGGGTTTTCAGTGCTAACAGTTGCCACTTTCACGTCCGTCATGCTGCCTGTTGGGTCACTGACACCTTGACCTGGAGTCTTGCGAGATTTTCTCTGCTTGTTCTCCAGTACTCTCCTGATGTTATTACTGTTCGGAGTACAGGCGGCATCCATGTTGCAAGCTAGGTTACGTTGCTGCAACATGCTAGGTTGGTTTCCCACTCAGATGCCCCGAGGCTGCCCCGTTTTCGTTAGGTGCTGTTCGCCCCTTTCCCTCTCTGTTCCCGGCTCCGGACCGTCTGCGGGTTTCGGGGTCAGGGCGGGGTTTAGTTGGGGCTGAGACTCGGGCGGTTTTTGGGGGCTACCCTGTTCGGGTTGGGGGATGGAGGTTTTTGAGCCTGTTCCTCCTGCCAAGGCTTCTGGGTCTTACCAGCGGCCCTTTCTTGCTGCCTTTCCCATGGACTCTTGCTTTTCTTTAAGGGCTGAGGGCTTGGAGGACAGCTCTGCCCCGGGGCCTCTGTTGCTGGTTCCCCGGGCTGTGGGGGATGCCTGCTAGCAGTTCTGGGGCGGTTTGCCCCCTGCCTGGGTTTTCTGCTTTTAGGCGGAGTTTTTCGCCCATCCAGTCTTTCCACTTTTGTTGGTGTGTTTTCGTATCTTTAGCGTCAGTCACAGCCCTCTGTTCTGGTGGCCATTTTCGTCTGTCGGTTTCCCGGCATGGCCACCAGGGCGGCATTGCGGTTTGTTTACATGCACCTGGGTGTGCGAGCGAGCTTCTTGGGTGATTTTCTTGGGTTTCACCTTCTTTCAGGAGTTTTATCCTCCTGTTGTCGTTTCTTTGCTTTTCTGGTGTTTACTGCCCGTTTCCTGTTCCTCTGGGAACGTTTGAGTGTTGATTTTACACCGGGTTTCCCATTTTGTCTGTTTTGGGTCTGGGCCTTTGGGTTTGGTCTCAGTGTCCCTGGCTGTTATGACCATTTCCCAGGGGGTTCTGTCTGGGGGCTGTGCTTTGCCTTTCTGTGGTGTTTCTCCGCCGGCAAAATGTGGTGGTTTGGGCTTTTCCCTGGTTCGATTCTGGGTTCCTTTGGGTTCTTTGGTTTCGTTCCGGAGGTTTCTTCCTCTTGGGCCCCTTTTGTGGGTTCAGGGGGCTTTGTTTCCTCGTGTGTGACCCGGTTCTGCCTTCTGGAGTTCCGGGGTCTTCCTGGCTGTCCTGGCTTGCAGATTGATCTTTTTGGGTCTTGGCACGTGTTGTGGTCGTCCTGGGACTTTGAGGTTTTGTAGTCGAGGTGGGCTTTTTGATGCAGTTTTCTGCCTTCTTTGCCTACTGGTCAACGGCTTGTAATTTTCTTTTCAGTGTATGTGTAATTATCTAAGTGTAGTTACAGGATGAGAGCTACACTCGTGGTGTCCCGTCTTCCTAGCACTCTGTCATATAACGCTTTGAAACTACCGACGGTCTTAGCCTCCACCACCTTCTCACCTAACTTGTTCCAACCATCTACCACTCTGTTTGCGAAAGTGACTTTTCTTATATTTCTTCGGCATCTGTGTTTCGCTAGTTTATATCTATGACCTCTTGTTCTTAAAGTTCCAGGTCTCAGGAAATCTTCCCTATCGATTTTATCAATTCCTGTTACTATTTTGTATGTAGTGATCATATCACCATTTTTTCTTCTGTCTTCTAGTTTTGGCATATTTAATGCCTCTAACTTCTCCTCATAACTCTTCCCCTTCAGTTCTGGGAGCCACTTAGTGGCATGTCTTTGCACCTTTTCCAGTTTGTTGATGTGCTTCTTAAGATATGGGCACCACACAACCGCTGCATATTCTAGCTTTGGCCTAACAAAAGTCGTGAACAATTTCTTTAGTATATCGCCATCCATGTATTTAAAAGCAATTCTGAAGTTAGAAAGCGTGGCATAGGCTCCTCGCACAATATTCTTTATGTGGTCCTCAGGTGATAGTTTTCTATCTAGAACCACCCCTAGATCTCTTTCCTTATCAGAATTCTTTAAAGATTTCTCACATAATATATAGGTTGTGTGGGGTCTATGTTCTATTCAACATTCCATAACATGGCATTTATTAACATTAAATTCCATTTGCCAAGTGGTGCTCCATATACTTATTTTGTCCAGGTCATCTTGAAGGGCATGACAATCATCTAAGTTTCTTATCCTTCCTATTATCTTAGCATCATCAGCAAACATGTTCATATAATTTTGTATACCAACTGGTAGATCATTTATGTAGACAATAAACATCACTGGTACAAGAACACTGGTACAAGAACTGAACCCTGTGGTACCCCACTTGTGATGT